GGATAGATTCTTGTTTGCATGGTCCTCTATTACTAAATGTTTCACAATCATAAATGATGGTACTATAGAAATTGGATTTGTTGAGAAGTTTGGACCAAAATGCTGCATTACTTTGCACATTTTTAGTGAAAGCTGTTAAATATTTTGTTTTTCTGTCTGCAGTTAAATAGTCGAGTAAAAGCAATCCCGTAAAAGAAGACAACCAATTGGACGCCATGCCAAAGTCAACAGAGAAGCAAACAGCTAGAAATGATAGCTTACCCTTACATAAACTCCAAGAGAAGGTTATTTAGAATGCTGTTTCCAGCCAATGGATATTAGTGATATATTACTCCATCAAGCTGATTGGTAGGAATTTACAGTATTAATGATTACAATGTTCTCTTACATGGGGAGCAAATTTCTTCTACAGGATCCAGAGTTCTATGAATTCTTGAAAGAGCATGACAAGGAGCTTCTTGAGTTTGATGATGAGCAAACTGATGTAAGTCTATTGTCAATTGTCTATTGTATTTCAAATTGTACATTTTTTTCTTGTGATGCTTAAAAATTAATAAACTGCATATATTTGATGTAAAGGGTGAGGAGATGGAAGCTGATGGAGAGGCAATGGATGATGACAACGACGAAGATGACGATGATGCTAGTATTGATGAACAGGGGGGGAGGCCCTTGGAAGGTGCAATAACTAGTGAAATGGTAGATTCTTGGTGTAACTCAATTCGAGAAAAAAGAAACATAGGAGCAATTCGCTCTATGGTGAGAGCATTTCGTTCTGCTTGCCACTATGGCGATGAAAGTGCTTCTAACCCTACCTCAAAGTGGAGTACTATGTCAAGTGGTGTTTTCAATAAAATCATGCTATTTGTTTTGAATGAAATGGATGGAATTCTCCGTGGTTTGCTGAATTTTCCGGCTACTGGGGTTACAAAACAGATGTTGACAGATGCGATGACCACTAGGAAGTGGAAAAGTTTCCAAAATTTGGCGAAGTCATACCTGGGAAATGCTCTACATGTTCTCAACCAGATGACAGACACTGAAATGATTTCATTCACCTTGAGGAGGTTGAGATATTCAGCAATCCTTTTGGCTGCGTTTCCAGTTCTTTTAAGGAAGTACATTAAGGTACCACTTGTTTCTTGGATGTTGTGGTAATGAGCTTGGATCAAATTGAGAAATGGTCCATTTCCCTCTCTTTTCCCCATTAGATTAATTCAAAATTTTTTAACTAGTTGCATAATTTGTGACGTTGTCAAGTATTACTGTTGAGGGCTTATATGGCTTTTCAGGCTCTTCTTCATTTTTGGGGTACTGGAGGAGGTGCTTTGCCTGTGTTCTCTTTTCTATTTTTGAGGGAATTGTGTATCCATCTCCACTCTGATATCATTGACGATTGCATCAAGGGAATGTACAAGACGTATGTGTTGAACAGTACATTTGTTAATGCATCAAAGTTGCACCACATTCAGTTTCTTGGCAATTGTTTCATTGAACTTTTAAGGGTAGACCTTTCCACTGCATACCAGCATGCCTTTCTTTTCATCCGACAGTTAGCAATGATCTTGCGCAAGGCTCTTGACTCAAAAACCAAGGTATTATTTCAGACGTGGTGCTTTCTTTTAATGGTATATAATTATATATTACATGGTGCAATCTAATAAAAAAATGCATTTCCGAAATGGGCCCTGTATCTTATTCTCTGATTCCATACCCAATCACTTGTTGGCTGTTGCATAGTCAAATGTTATATCCATTATTCGCTTTTAATATATTAAGATATGGGTTGACAATGTTTGTATAAACTATAAAATATGCTTTCTTATACAATGCTCAACTCTACTTCAGGAATCTTTCAGGAAGGTTTATGAATGGAAGTACATAAACTGCCTTGAGCTTTGGACCGGAGCTATATGTACATATTGTTCTGAATCAGATTTCAGACCCCTTGCGTATCCATTGGCACAAATTATATCTGGAGCAGCTCGTTTGCTTCCATCTGCTCGGTATTTTCCCGTCCGGTTGAGATGTGTCAAGATGCTCAATCGCATTGCTGCTTCTACTGATTCTTTTATTCCGGTTTCTCTGATCCTTTTGGACATGCTAGAAATGAAGGAATTGCATAAACCTGTAACTGGAGGTGTTGGGAAAGCTGTAGATCTGCGTTGTGTACTTAAGGTATTTTCACTATCATTGCATTGGTATTTGCATGTGTGCGAGGTAGATAGGGAGAGATACTACTCATATAACTATTTGAACTTTCATTTTAATATGGTAGGTAACAAAACCCACTGTAAAAACACGAACATTTCAAGAGGCATGTGTTTATTCTGTGGTTGAAGAACTTGCTGAGCATCTTGCTATGTGGAGTTATTCTATTGCTTTCCCTGAGCTGTCATTTGTACCTGCTGTTCGGCTACGCAAGTTCAATAAGTCCACTAAGGTTGATAGATTTCTTCGAGAAATTAGGAAATTCATTCGCCAGGTATGCCTTTTCTTTTTTATATTATGCTTGGAGTATATTCCTCAAGCCAGAGTTGTCTCTAAATCAATCTTATAGGCAAACACGCCTACAACATTCCTTATTTAGGTTCGTATGTGGTTATATAATTTCATTACAGTTGCTTCTCATGCTTTAAGTTATATCGTATGTTTTCTTTTCAAATGTCACAGATTGAGGCAAATTCTGAGTTTACAAATAAAAAGCGTATGACTGTTACATTTCTACCCAATGTTTCGGATGCAGCATCTTTTCTTGAGGTTCCGCAGTTCATTCTCTTACTTTCCTTTCCGGTCAATGAATGCTCTACAATATTTCCAACCTAAAATTTATGTGTTGAATTACTTGAATCTTGAAGACATTACCATTAATAATCACATAAAAGAAATTGGTTATTTCTTTGCTGAGAATAGATATCACAATCCTACTGGATATGAGATCTCTACACTGTTGGGAGAAGCTAAAGAATCTATTTTCTAAGCTTCCGTCTGCTTGGTAAAAACAAATTCTCCTAAAACTGATGTCAATCAACTCATTTTCCATCTCTTCAACTGTAGGCTGAAAAAAAGGCAGGTGCTAGCCCGTTGTCTAAATATGTTGTCACTCTTCGTGAGAGGGCAGCACAAAGAAATGACTCTTTAGTTGAATCAAGGTTCAGTATGCTCATCTTTTTTCGATTTTGTTGGATATTCTTTTACATGAGGAACTGATGAAGAAAATCTATGCTTTCAGTGTACTTGTTGGTGAGCGTACGTCGGTTTTCGGAAAAAAGGTGGAAGATGTCGACCATGAAGATGATAAGGAGGAGACTGGTGATGCTATCTTCAGCTCTTCATGGTTACCCGGAGGCACTCCTAAGTATTTTTGCTCTCCCCTCTAAATCAAATCTTCTCTTCATTTTGTTTTTTAGCCCTATCTAATAAACAGCTGATTTTCTAATAAACAGCTGATTTTTTGGAATCTGTGGGTGGACATGGCATAATTTGCTGGATGGACCGAAGTATCTAGAAACATATATTCAAACAGTTTTTTTAAAAAAAGGAATCAAGTGAAATAATATCTTAGCTTTAGTTAAAAGTAACATTTACTTCGTTTTTAGCCAAAATAGTAAACTTTGCACTATTTCCCCCCATTATGGATCAATGATTCAAGCAGATTCCATTGAAGTTAGTTATAGAAAATTTGTCTCATAAAGCAAAATAGAAAAATCTAATAACAGGCCAGGTTGATTTCTGTCCTCAGTGACCTTGTGTTCATGATGGAACCTTGCATGGTAATAACCTGATGGTGATTCCTATACAGTATAAATCTCGAGAAAGAAGAGAAGAAGTCTAAGAAGAGAAAGGGGTCACAAAAGAAGGATGCTGCTGCTGCTGCCGCTGCTGCTTCGGATGAAGACATTGTGGAGGATTTGGTGCTTAGTTCTGATGAAGATAGTGATCCCCCCACAGAAGACGAGAGCCCAAAGGAGAAATCAACTAATAAGAAGCAAGGTAAGTTCAAGCCAAAGAAATCAAAGAAGAGGAAGCTTTCTAGTTGATCAAGCAATGGTATTTGTTTTGTTTCCCCTTTTTGTTGTGCCTTGGGATTTTGTAAACTCAAATATTGTTATCCTTTTAGATTATTTTTTCTTTGTGTAGATTTACTTTGAAAACGCTACTATTAAAGAATATTTTCAAAACACTGAAGTAAAATGTTGAAGTTGTTGCCAAATAGGCACTTAGTTGTTTTGATGCTCTGGCACGCATTCTGGGTCCCACTTATGCTATTTTGTTTGGTGGCCAAATAGCAAACATGAGAATTGGAATTATATTATTTTATGAAAACACTAGTAAATTTGAGCAAACAAAGTGAGTAAAGTTTGACCATGTGAATAGTGTCTGGGAAGATCTATGGTGGACAGAGGGGGTATTCTATTTTTTGGAACGAAATGAATTTTAGTAACAAATTATGTCATCATATTATTTTCCTTTTAAATTATGTGCATTTAAAAAATGGAAATATTAAAAAAACATAAAATAATATATAGAAAACAAATTTGAAATAGAAAACGGTAAATAGAATAATCTTTAATATTTGTATATTTAAAAGATATAATTTAGTTTGATTTGATATAGATAAAAGATTAAAAAAACTAATCCCGAACAAACAATAGAATGAACTCGAAAGAAAAAAACCCGAAAACATAATAAAACAATGTTTTATTATTTTATAAAAGATATAATTTAATTTAAATATAAATAGGTAAATATTAAAAAATAAAAGTAAAACAATTGCAATGAATAATGTTTGAGATGATTTTTTATTTGTTTGGCCAATCAAAATATAGTGTTTGAGAGTTGGCTCTTAGAGTTAGGTGTAGAAATCCGAAAAATCAGGAAGAGTGAGATTTCGATTTGATTGGTGAACAAAAGTAGTGTTTTACTTTTATTTTTTAATTAAATAAAATAAAAAATAAAAGAGATTTGAACTTATGAGTTAAACCATTGCGGTTGGATCAGTAAATATTAAAAAATAAAAGTAAAACCATTGCGGTTTACTTATGAGTTACTAATAAATATCAGAGATTTGAACGTGGTAGGAAGCCCACTTCCCAAGATTCCTGAGGAAGTTCACCCAGGTTTGAGCCACAGCGGAGGCAAAAGCATGACCCTTTGTGCGTTATTAGATTGAGAATAGTATGAACAGATACTACCTTAATTCAACTCCAATGATTAACGCCAAACTCAAACTTAATGAGATATTTTCACACTATTTTTTTCTAATTACTTCTCTTACTTAGCAAATTTAAATAATCATCATAAGATTACTCATTCCTAAAAAAATAATACTCCGTCAGTCCAAGACATTAAACATACTCCCCTATTCAACTACAAACAAGTGACCTGGAGATGGAAAAAAACAAATTGATTAAATGCAGCTACAAAAATTGGTCTGGAGATGGAAAAAAATGAATTGATGATGATGATGATGAAAACCATATATCATGGGGAAGAAATCATAACAGCTAAACCTTACTCCACTTTGCACCACATAAAAGGTAAAAAAATGAATGCAAATTACTGTATTACGTAGTAATTACTAACTCAAAAATAAAAACTTCTTTTCCTTCTTTGCTCCCACCTCTCTGGTGTTGCTTTTGTGGTTGATTGCACTGTTTTTTTTCTCTTTGCTTCTTTGTGCAGAAAGTCTTCCTCATTTGGCTGTGAAATCTATGACGGATTATGAAAAAGTCTCCTATAAACTCTAAACTTGAACAATATCACCAACACTATGAGTTTGATCCTCACTCAGATTTTGAACAGGTTTGTCATTGATACTCCTTTTTACCTCTAAAACATCATATAATGTCTAATAAATCTCGAACCGGCCAAACAGTTACGTTGTAGAAGGTCAATTGAACTATAATCAGTATCACAAATAAGAGCTGAGATTTGTCCTTTGTCCTTGGCAATCCAAGCCTTTATATGGTTTAATTCATTATATTATTGGATGGTCCCGTTTCAATGGAGCTAAAAAGTCATTTTTTTACGATGTTCTAGTTTTGTATAAGTGATGGATTAAACTAAAATGACCCATTAAAGTTCTCTTTCTTGTTGGTTGTTACTCCGTTTTTTCAGCAAAGTTTTGGTAAGTAAATGCATCAATCGTAGTATGACGAAAATAACCTCTTTATTTTTTTCAAGGGACCCAAATTGTGTTATGGATTATATAGGGGTTTGGTGTTGTTTTATATTCAATATATTTTGGATTAAGTTTGATGATGATGTGAGGGTATCCCTTGTTCAGTTCTTGGCAGAAGCAAGAAATCATGCAAGGAGGGTGACATTGGGTGTCACTTCACATCTTGAAGAATCATGTGAGAAGAAAAAAATGGGGAAAAAATCATCATGGAAAAGATCACTTTTTTCATGGCTAAAGAGAGAAAAGAAGACCAAGAATGGCCAAAAAGGAATGAAATTCTCCAAGCAAAGGAACGAATGTGTTTCCGGACCGGTGAATTTTCACGGGAGCGAAATGGCAACTGCAGCGAGGCTTCAGAAGACTATGTCAGGACCCATCACAAATCTTTTCTCCGGCAAGGACAAAGACGCGAAGGAGATTGTCCCATATATGTGCCTTGAAAAGATGAACACTCCCAAGGCTGTTCAGTCCTATGGACCTGTTTACTTGGTTACTTAGGAAAACAGCTCAAAATGTGATTCTCTTACTTTGCAAGAACAAAATATTTATCCTTCTTCCTCTGTCCCTCATAGATCTTCCCAATAGCCCTTTTTCTTTGTCCACAATAGATCTTCTCATTTCATTTTTTAACAATTAAAATACCACAACTACCCCCACTTACTTTATTTATTACACCTCACCCACCTCATTTAATACACTCCACCCATTTTTCATTAAGGGTATTATGATAAACTTTCACCTTTTTTCAACTATCCTTAAAAACCACCAAAAGTCAAAATGAGAACATCTTAGAGGGACGGAGGGATTTTTTTTGGGGGGGTTTTATCTTCATCATCTATTTGTGTGCACCCTTCAAATGGAATTGAAGAAAACACTATTTTGTGTACAGAAATGTACAAAGTTTGTCTTGTTCATGACCAGAATACTCAAGAATCAATGAAAACATCACAGGCTAAGACTAAAATGTCCCAAAAAATTACACTCATTGGCTTAGGCCACCTTGTTCTACATCTACTATGAGCCCCATTTCCCTTCTCTTCATCATCAATAGCCTCTTGAATGATCTCAATCTCGTGATCACAGTCGGTTTTTGCCCGAACTCCTCAAGGCTCTGCCTAGGAATATCAATTGCAGCCGAGGATGAACACGGAACCGGAGAAGGAACACGTTCTTCCAATGTGGGACATGAAAAGGTGCTGACTTGAGTCTCATCTCCCCAAAACAACACATTGGTGGGAAAGTTTGGAGATCCTCCTACTTCTCCTCCGGGTACGGGACCCGAAGGTGGATTCGGGTTTGGGATCGGGTTTCTGCAGAGAGGGCAAGTGGAATGTGATTGAAACCATTGGTCAATACAGCCCACATGATACCCATGGTCACATTTGGGCAAAAATCTTGCCTTTTCACCCTCACACACCTCACACAGACACACTGCACATTCCAAGCCCTCTTCTTTGAAATCTTTGGAGCTGAAGTCAACTTCTGGTATGGTTTTTAGTACTGATGGGTCCAGACCCCTTATGCCCACTTCTTGATCGGCGGCGCTGAGGATGTCTGGGCGGCGGCGGAGGCGGAACCCTTCGGCGGTGTAAAGGTGGAGCAAGAATATACAGGCCACCACTGAGAAGAGACAGATGGCTGCCACCAAGAACATGATTCTTCTTGTTGGCTAAGACTGAATCTCTAAAAAGATTGAATTTTTTACTCGTTTCAAATGCAGAAAGATCTTTGAAAACACAAAATAAGAAAAATTGGGGGAAACCAAAATTCAGCAAAAAATTGCTGCTAGGTACCCCCAATTTTGGGATAAGAACTCGCAGGTCCCATTATTTTTCAAAATATACTCCGGGGTACCTTAAAATATTCAAAAAGTGACCCGCGGGTGACATTCTGTCAATGTGTCCGTCAATGTTTCCTTTTCCGTTATCATGTTTTCCTTCTTCATTTCTTCTTGTTCTCCTTCCTGTTTCGATATCCTCATCCTTTTTCTTTCTTCTTCTTTTTTTCTTCTTTTTTTCTTCTTTGTTCTTCTTCTTCTACGCCTTTCCATCCAATCAGTCTCCCATCCCTCCCCTTTTTTCTTCTTCTTTTTCTTCTATTACTATATTATTATTATTATAAATTATTTTATTATTTGTTATTATTATAATCTTTATTTGTTATTATTATTATTATTTTATTTAATTAGTAGTTTGACTAATCTAACTTTTTTAGTAGTTTTACTACTCTAAAGCTTTAATTGAAAATTACTTTTAGTAATATATTTATGTATAGTTTATAAAATTAAAATTATTTATCCACGTGGTTATAAATTATACGTCGTAATTCATAATAATATAAAATTTAGAATTATTTTTTATTGTTTCATACATAGTATTATCTTTTAAAAAAATCAGAGACACTTATTCATATTATTCTTTCCTCAAGTCCTCTCGTTTTCTCGATTTACCATGACACCACTATCCATGGAGACTACTGATGACTAATGTGTGGCTAATGCGAAAGACAACATCGGATGGAAAAAAATAGAGTAGTAAAACTACTAATAATTTGTTTAACAATAATATAATAATAAGTGTTATTTTAAATAATAAAATCTATTTTTCTAAATAATAGTGATTGCGGTTTTTGAAAAATAAAGTAATAAAACTACTAATTAATTTTTTTATAATAATTAAGAAAATAATAGGAAATAAATAAAACTATCTCTGTCCCAAAGTATCTATCAGGTTTTGACTTTTTTAGTTAATCGTTTTTAATCTTTGACCTATAATTAAATAAAATATATATTGTATATTAATTTGATAAAATAGTATTTTGAAAATATTTTATATAATAAATTTAATAAAACTATTTTTCTACCAATATCTATCTAATATCATTTTTAATTAGTTTAATTTAGGGTTAAAATTTATCAAGTTTGAATGAAAAGTACTCCCTTCGTTCCAAAAAGATTTACAGCATGTTTCAAAAAAATTGCGTCCCACAATCTCCTTCTCATTTCTATTAAAAAACCACTTTTACCACTTATTTTTTCAAATCCTACCTACCACATCATTTTTTTTTCATAATAATATACATATCACATCTTACTTTTACACATCACATCAAGGGTATTTTTGGAAAGTCAACACAAAATTATCCCCCCTTAATTTCAACTTTAGTCAAAACGTGTAAATCTTTTTGGGACGGATGAAGTAATTAATATGAAGTAATAATAATAAGTACTAATATTTATATAAAAATTACAGAAGTAAAATTACTTATTAATTGCATTAAATAAATAATAGCACTAATAATAAGTGTTTTGTATAATACGTGTTATTTTTCTAAATAACCATTACTGATTTTTGTAGAAAAGAGTAATAAAAGTAATAATTAATTTTAAATAATAATAGTAATAATAATAAATAAAAAATTAATAATAATAGAATAAAAAAATCATAATTGATACGAAGTAATTATAATAATTAATAACAAATAATAATAATTATAATGGAAGAAGAAGAAAAAAGAATCCAAAACAAAAAGTAAAAGAAGAAAAAAGAGGAGGTGGGGTGGAGGACTTCAGAAGGCAAAGGAGGAGGAGGAAAAGAGGGATGGAAGAAGAAGAAGAAGAAAAAGAAAAAGAAAAAGAAAAAGAAGAAGAAGGAGAAGACGAAAGAGAAGGAGAAGGAGAAGAAGATAGAAAAAGAAGAAAGATAACGGAGAAGGCCATTAACGGGGAACTTAACGGATTGTCACCCCGGAGTCATTTTCCAAGATTTTAAGGTACCTCAGAATATATTTTGAAAAATAATGGGACCTGCGACTTCTTATCACAAAACTAGGGGTACCCAGTAGCAATTTTTTGAAAATTCAGAAATGTGTTTCTTGGATTTATATAGTATCAGAAGAAATCAAAGGTTGTAATTTATATGCGGATATATAGGGAGTGAGGAGTATACTTTTCCAGAAATTAATAGGAGAACAATTCAAATTTCAAACAAGAATAATGTGTGGGTAACCCACCTCACAGCTTCCTAACAAGTTTTCAAGTTAAATTGTTTTTCTGTAGGAGTACTCGTTAGGAGAACCTTCTTCTTTGTGTAGGGTTGGTCTGGGTGTTAACGTATTTGACTTTGACTCTCTCACCTCTTCTACTTAAAGGCCCAACCTTGAAACATGAGTCATGTTTGTGTAGGCTTGACCCCGTTTTTGATAGCATGCCTTCATAGGTATGGAACATTTCTTCCCGTGTTTTTGAATTCTGATGTATATATTGATGCTAAAAATGAAATCTAAGTAGAGTTAGGTTGTTTTTTGTTTGTCTTATCTAATTTGATCGATTTTTTGAATTTTGATCTGGCTTGATCTAATATGATCTGGTTAAATTTGATCTGATTAAATCTAATCTGGTCTGATCTCAGTGGATCTGATCTGATATAAACTCAATTTAAATTTAAATTTAAATTATTATTATAATAGTTATAATAATATTAATAATAATAAAATAAATATTAATAATAATAGTAATAATAATAATAAGAAAAATAGTATTAAGAATAGTAATAATAATAATAACTATAATAATAACACTGCTAATAATAATAAAAATAATAATAATAATAACAATAATAATCATAATAATAATAACAGTAATACTAATAATAACAATAATAAAAATATTTATAATAAAAATATTAATAATAATTATAATCATAATAATAATAATAGTTAAATAATAATGGTAATGATAATTGTAATAATGATAACCATAATAATAAGAATAGTAATAATATAATAATAGAAATAATAATAATAATAATAATAATAATAATAATAATAGAAATGTTGATAATAATAATTATAGTAATAGAAATAGTAATAATAACAATAGTAATAATAATAATTGTAATAATAATATTAATAATATTAATAAGAGTAGTAGTAATAGTAATAATAGTAATACTCCCACGTCCTAAATCAACCTTTCCACATTGACTTTTTCCCATTTTTAAGGAGTTTATATTTTAACCTTTGACTTCCCATTTTGCCCCTTAGTAAACATTTAAGGAAATTTTTTTAAGGCTAACTAAAAAAGGTAAAAAAGGGATTGAATAAAGGAAAAAAGCACACTCATACATTTCAAAAGGAAGCAATCCACGGTACATTAAGCCCAAAAACCATAGGCATCCACTTTTACAATTTTCATGTTCAACCAATTCCAATAAGGAGGGAAAGTTCTAAGAATTTCCTTCCCAAGCAAAAACAAAAAATCCCACCAAAGCCTATTCTATAAATAGGAGCATACTTTCCACTTTTAGAAAGGGAATCCCTAGCCAAATCATTTTCCTTTTTAATGTCTGCTCCTGTTCCTAAACCTCCTCCTGCGTCTGCTGCTGCTGCTACGACCATCCCGGCTGCTGCCACCATCCCAGCTGTTGTTGCTGCTGCCACCACCATCCCGGGTGCTGCTGCTGTCCTTCAACCAGGCATAGATGAGGACCTGCGAAGAGAACAAAGATCATGCAGGACCAGGCTATCAAACACTCAAAGGCAAAGAATTGTACAAGCAATCCTACCATATGCCAAAAAAAATTCAGGTGAGTACACAGCTCAGAATTGCTGATGAATTCAATGTTTCCAGAAGAAGCATAGGAGACATATGGAGCAAAGTTAGAAAACAGTTAAAGGAGGGAGTTGCCATTGATGTCAAAAGTAAGGTGTATGGGAATACTGGTAGGAAAAGAGTGGTCATAGATGTAGAATCCATCCCAAACATTCCTCTAGCCCAAAGGACAACCATCAGATCACTAGCTGCTGCACTTGGTATGTCTAAATCTACTGTCCATCTTTGCATTAAGAGAGGTTTACTAAGAAGTCATTCAAATGCAATTAAACCTCTTCTAACAGATGGAAACAAGCTGCAAAGATTGCAATTTTGTTTGAATCACTTAGAACCCACAAGCATCCCTTGTAATCCCAAGTTCAGAAGTTTTCATAATGTTCACCACATGGATGAAAAATGGTTTTTTATGTCCAAAACATCACAAAAATATTATTTGACCAAGTCTGAAATGGATCCTTACAGAACTTGTAAGTCAAAGAGATTCATCACCAAGGTCATGTTCTTATGTGTTGTTGGTAGACTATTATTCTCAGACAATGGAGAAGTAATGTGGGATGGGAAAATTGGAATATTTCCTTTTGTTGAGACTGTGGCAGCTAAAAGAAAGAGTAAGAATAGAGAGGCTGGGGTTTTGGAAATGAAACAATTGCTCAGTGTTACCAAAGAGGTGACAAAAGATATGTTAGTGAACCAAGTTATACCTGCAATCCATGAGGGCCATCTTTCTTAGACAGAAGCATTGTGCATCAGCAAGACAATGCGAGACCCCACATTTCTGGGACAAACCAAGACTTCATGACAGCAGGAAATGCAAATGGTTTCAACATTACTTTAAGTAACCAACCCCCTAACTCCCAGACCTAAACATACTTGACTTCGGGGTTTTTTAGAGCCATCCAATCTCAAAAAGAGAAGTGTGCTCCAAAAAATGTGGCAGAACTTGTGGAAGCAGTTAGGGGTGCATTTGTAGCTCTTACAACAGAAACATTGAACAAGGTATGGTTAAGCTACAAAGATGTGATGCAGCAAGTTATGAATGATGAAGGTGGAAACAAGTACAAAGTACCACATATGGCCAAGGATAGGTTGGCTAGACAAGGACCACTACCAGTGTGTCTAAATGTACCACATACATTGGTGGAGAAGGCAGTAAGGGTCCTTGCTCAAGGTACTAGCCAAAGTGAACAGCAAGACTAGCCTGAGTTCATGCCTGAAGATGGAGAAGACTTCTCATCTTCAGAGATGAACTAAGTGTTTATGAAATGAACACAATCTTTTTGATTTTTGTTAATGGTTGGGTACATTCTTTTTTGGCTTTTGAGTTTTGTAAATGCATGTTATGACTAGGTAGCAGTAGGAAAGTAAGTCCTTGAACTTTTTTTGTTTTCAACATTAAGGCAACTACTCAAATGTACTCCAATCAGTTTTCTTTCACTACCACTCACAATATGTAACACTAATGACTTAGTAGAACTTTAAAAGTAAATTCCAATATCATTATTGCTGTGATTATGTGTTGTGTGTGTGGGAAATATATGCAGGGACTTAGAAATTGAGAGAGTAAAGACAAAGACACTTCACTTTGTATTCCTTGTGGGAGAGGAGCCTTGGAATTTGTTGGACCACGCCAACCCCATGGTCAAAACCAGAGTGGCTGCCCATGTCAAAACCAGGCACCCGGTCTGTGCCCTGCCCCTCCTCTGCCCCATCCTCCTGCTCTTCATCCGATTCGCTCCTAAATCCTTGCATGGGCTCGTCCTCCAACAAGCTTTCCTCATATTTACTATCAGCGATGACTATGCCTAGATACGGGAGAGAATCAGATTCAGATCCGTCATCATCCATCTGACTCTCTCCGTCCTCAAACTTTGGAACCTCCTTTTTTTCCTTCTTGACTTCCTCCTTCAATCCTTGAAATTGATTTTCGCTCTCACCAATTTCATGAATCTGGGATTTGGATCTCAAATTCACAGAATCCATTTGTAGGCGGTGTAGGGTATAAGGGAAGACTGATGTTAAGATGGAGAGAGGGCGATTAATTTAGAGAGGCTGAGAGAGGCGGAGAAGGAGAGACAGAGAGAGGGATTGATAGATCTAGGGTTTAGACAGAGGAGGCGAAGAGCGAAGAAGGAGAGAAGCAGCGTGGAGGTGTAAATGCAAATAGGGAAGGGCAGGTGTGGCGTAAATGAGAGGGGGGTATATTTGTCTTTACACTGCCTTTTTTGGGTTTGGGAAGTTATTTTTAAGACGGGAAAAAAGGGAAGTGGGAAGATGGTTTAGGACGGAGAGAGTAATAATAATAGTACTAATAATATTAATAATATTATTATTAATACTAATAGTAATAATAATAGTAATAATAACAATAGTAATAATAGTTATAGTCATAATAATAGTAATAGTAATATGAATAATAATAATAATAAGGATATTGATTAACCTGATTTGGTCTCTGATTCGATCTGATTTATTTGATTGGATCTGATCTTGTCTAATCTAATTTGATTAGATCTGATCTGATCTGGTCTGATTTTAATAAGGATAAGTAATAAACAGAAAAAATAAGTTGAAAGAAACGATGCCTTACTTAAAGTTATTTCTTGAAATATTTGAATGCGTGGATAAGTAAAAAAAATTCTTTTTTGACAATTTTTTGTGATCCTTATGTCTTGATTCCATAACCCAACAGGTCTATATCCATATAGGAGTGCTTCTTTGGTGCACCTTGGATGCATATCGTTTTTGTGAACTTTCTCACATAAAAAAATCTTTTTTTATTTAAAAATAATACTTATTTAAATTGGAAAAAGAATACTTATTTTGCTCATATGTAAGTTCATGGTGAACTTTAAGTCTACTATAGAATTTGCCATCTATATTGACCTTAATATATAAAAATATGAAATGATTATATATACAGTACTCGATTTGTTAAAAAAGGAATTTAACTAAGAACACATGTAAGATACGTGATAAGGTCTACATTTTACACGTATGTAGACCTTAAGACTATAATATCACGAGCCTTCTTTTTTCGCGTGCTCAAAAAATCAAAGAGAAAGTTATAACTTTTTCATCTCAAAGTTATCATTTTAGTTTGACTTTTATGATTGAGTAAATTCTATAATTGGTTCTTTATAACATGGGGATTTCCCTATTTAGTCCTCTATTATCAAATATTACCCAAGTGGTCCTTCTTTTATGGGTACCTTTCCACAAATAGTCATTTTTTTGATCTTCTATCATGTTGGTGTTAATTTGAGGGCTAAAAGTGTAATTTCACAATGATAATATATCTTTTTTGTCATACACAATTTCAAAGGCTGTTCCGTTTGCGTCGTTTGTGAATTACAGTCGCTTTTTACGACAACTATAATCTACAAATGTGATCTTTCGTCAGAATCCTAACCCACAATCATAGTCATTATTTTTGTGTTATCCGCTTAACCAATATTAGAACGCGTCACTAGACATAAAGTTGACGTCAAATTATATTTTTAGCCTTTAAATTAACACCAACACGGCAGAAGATCAAAACAAGACCATTTGTGGAAAGGTACTTTTAAAAAAAGGACTACGGGGGTAATATTTGATAATAGATGACTAAATATGGAAACCCCCCTGTTATAAAGGACCAATTATGGAATTTACTCTTTATGATTACTTTGGTCATAAATTATAAATATTATGCATATTTAATTATAATGTAAATAAATATAATTAGGTTTATTTTAAGGTATAATTTTCTTATATAATATTTTTTATAGCATTTATTTAATTATATATAATTTATAGTCAAAGAAACTACAAAAATCAAACTATCACGATAGTTTTGAAACGAAGGCAGTAATAAGTTAATGTGAGCATATTCTTATCATGTTAGATGCAAGTAGCATTGTAAACGAATCAGAATACCAAATATTTGAATTTGTAATTATTTAATTTTTTTAAATAAGAATTTGAAACCAAAATAGTTATAAATGTCATTTGTATTTGGTTAATTATTTAAATTGTTAATAAATTTTAAACAAATATTCACTTGGTATTGATAATAATTTAAATGATGGACCATGATCAATTTTTAGCCATATAATTTAAAGAAATCTGCATAAATATAACTGAAACATGAAATTTATAACAAAATAAATCTCATATTTCATTCGTCTCAAAAAAATCTTCTAACTTTTTTTGGTTATCCCAAAAAAATTTCTTATTCCTTAAAATAATGAAATGGGTGGTTCACTTTAATTCTTTTTATTCTACATAAATTTCAACCAAACAATTTTGTTATTTCTTAAATTCTGTAAAAAACTACTCTCGGTAAGTAGAAAGATTTTTTTGGACGAATGATGTAAGTTTAATTTTATCCCATAAATTAAAGGGTTGACACTATGAAATACTCCCTATCATAATATGTGTTGATATTTCACAAAAGAATTTAAACTCCAAAATTCTATATATCATATTTCAAGTGTGTTGAGATTTATCTTTTAGTTTTAGGCTATTTCTAGAGCCCGTCTTTTATATTTTCATTTACACACAAATTAAGCATGTGGTTTAGATACATACACTCATATTTATTAAGTTGAGCTTGTAATTTTTTGAATGTATAACTTCATTTAGGGGGTGTTTGTTTTTTCTGCAGGAAAAGGTCTGCAATCTGCGGACCACTACTGTAGACATCTGCAGGAGAAGTGGTGGACCGAAGGTCTGCGGTCTGCAAGAAGAAGACTGTTTGTTTTTTAATGTCTGTAGACTGCTATATAAATTAATATTGGTAGTATACGGTGGTGGTGTATGGACGATTGTGGTGGTGGTGGAGGGTGGTGGTGAAGGGTGGTGGTGGACGGTGGTGGTGGTGAAGAGAAGTAGAAGAAAAAAAATGGAGAAGATGTTAGAAGATGTTAGAAGACATAGGTTAATGTCTTCTCCAAAAAAGATGCCAGGAAGACCTTTTTGAGTGAAATGTCTTCCAAAAAACAAACAATCTGCAGAGCTCAGCATCTGCGCGCGTCTGCGTGGCGCAGACAAAAGAGGCCAGAAGCTCTTCTAGCCAAAAAACAAACACCCCCTTACAGTGCCCAAGTATTGATCATAATGGGTTTGTGATAAAGTCGAAGTGTAGAATTCCTGCGTGGATCTTCCTTATATAAACATTCTTACGCACAAGATTTGTTGTCAAATTCTAAAGTTATACTGTTGAGAATAGCTGAGAAAGCTTGTGAAGGTTCAAGGATAACATGTAAGTCCTTGTGTAAATATTTTAAGATAACCACGAAATTATCATTGTAAGCAGTCGAGATAGTTGTTGTAAAATCTTAGGTGGGATCCAATAGGCAAAGGTTGTTTGCCATACTAGTTTGGTGCTTTGATAGAGTTCAAGAGACCGAGAATTAGCGCATTTGGAAATCTTTAAGGAATAGCCTTAATGTATTGAAGTAAGGAGTTCTCAAATCAGTATAAAATTGGTGTCGGTCTAAAGCTAGCAAGGAGATTTTGCTAAAGATCACTTCTCACGCAATGCCTTAGCATGCCATGAGTGTCTACTTACTCCCTTAGTCTCTTTGTCACCTTGCAGGAATTCAATATACAGGTAAACGACCGAAAAGGGTCCACGAATCAAGCTTCCGACCACCTCTCTCGTCTTGACACGGAGGTGGTTGATCAATAATGCAAAGTGGATGAAGCATTCTCGTTTGAGAAAATACTAACAATCAATGAGAAGATACCATGGTATGGTGATATAACTAACTATTTAGCTTACAATATCGAGCCTACCATGCTCTCGTCTCATCTTTAACGAAAACTCAAACGGGAAACAAACCACTACTTCTGGGAGGACCCTTACCTGTTCCGAATCTGCGCAGACCGGGTGGTGAGAAGACGCGTGAGTGAAGAAGAAGGATAAGAAATACTGAAACATTGTCATGCTTGCCAGTTGGTGGCCATTTCTCTAGAATAAAAACCGCACGGAAGGTGATGGACAGTGGGTTCTTTTGGCCCACTATCTTTCGAGACGCCCAATTATTTGTGATCAAATGTGAGGAATGCCAACAAACAGGTAACATCACACGTCGAGATGAAATGCCACAACATTATATACTTCCTTGTGAGGTATTTGGTGTTTGGGGTATTGATTTTGTTGGATCGTTCTCTAGTTCATACGGAAATAAATACACTTTGGTGGTGGTTGAATATGTCTCACAGTGGGCCGAAGCCCAAGCTTGTTAGAAGGATGATGCGCGCACAGTGGTACGTTTCTTGAAGAAGTTGTTTGCGATGTTCGAAGTACCTCGAGTGTTGATCAGTGATAGAGGGACACACTTCAGAAATGATCCCTTGTCCAAAACATTGCAAAGATATGGAGTTCAACGTAGAGAGGGTGTTTCTTACCATCCCCAGACTCAAGGCCAAGTGGAGAACCTTAATAAGGATCTGAAGGCGATTTTGGAGAAGACTGTTGAGAAAACTCGGAAGGACTAGAGCTTGAAACTTGATGATGCATTATGGGCCTTCCGAACTACTTATAAAACTCCCATCGGAACTACTCCCTTTCATCTCATTTACAGGAAATCCTGTCATCTGTCCGTCGAGATTGAACACAAAGCATTGTGGGCACTCAGAAATATTTGTCTAGATGTATCTGCTGCTGGAACGGAAATATTTTACCAATTGAACCAGTTGGAGGAATGGAGAGCATTGGCTTTTTACACTAATCTGCTCTATAAGTAGCGCCTCAAGAAATATCACGATGCGCACATCAAACAATCCAAGGAGTTCCATGAAGGGGACCAAGTACTTCTGTTTAATTCTCGGTTGAGGTTGTTTTCTGGGAAATTGAAGTCTCATTGGTCTAGTCTATTTGAAGTTGTGAAAGTCTATCTATATGGAACGGTAGAAATTCAAGGGAAGAATGGTGAATTCAAGGTCAATGGTCATCGCTTGAAGAAATTTGGAGGGGATGTGTCCCTAGAGAAAACTGCAATGTACCTCTAAGCCTTAGAGGACTGAAGAAGGAGAAAAACGTCCAGCTAATGACGTTAAAGAAGCGCTGAACGGGAGGCAACCCGTCATCATCACCAAAAAAATATAAAATTAAATTTAAAAAATAAAAAATAAATAAAATAAATAAAACAAAAAGAGAGAGAGACCTTTTTGAATTTATGTGTTAAAGATGATATCTGTACCGTGTACAGAATGACTATCTAAACTTGAATGGTACTTAAGTGGATACAAAGGGTGACGCCTTCAGGAGTCGAACTTGTCCCACCATTCCTATTGGGTCATTCTGTAGAAAGGTTTATTTAGGTGAGCCTAAGAGCACCTAATTGGTAGCATTCTGCCCGATACCAAATACTCCGAATCGGTATAGTTACCACTTTTAATATATTTATGCTTAAAGGATGTAAAAAAAGTTGAGTGCTTGTCGTACCAAATTTAGGAGCAAGTTTAACTGTTGCTCAATGTTTGAAGATGGCAAGAGCACCGATCGATCCATTGAGAAGGGCACAGGATCTTCAGTTGCCACTTCTTACTCTAGAGGCTCAAGAGTGATCCATTGAGCTGGGGTTTGGGAAGATGTTCAGGCCTCGACTAGTCCATCTGGATGGGAGCCATTGCTTTCGTTGCGAGCCGAGGCTAGCTTGCCTCTCACTATTGAGTTTCTATGCTCGTTGCGACCTTTGTTGGGGTTCAAGCAACGCGACGGCCGACTCATTTTCGCTCTCCTAGGTCAGCAGCATACTCTTACTGTCGTTGAACTTGGGTGTTGACCTTCCCATTGTTGTTCTTGGGGACTTCAACGTCCAGGCCTTCTGGACCGCATATGCACACATTGATGCCCCTTTCGAGCATTAGTTTAATCGATTTTCTGACTGGGCCCAGCCTTCTTGGAGGCTTCTCACCTTTATGATGTCCATGAGCTACTTTGGAAGACCCAGTAACAACAACATGGTCTATTCTTCTAACATGCTCTTCTTCTAGAGCATAACACATCAACGACGAGTGAATATGGCTATTTTCATCGCTTGTTTCTTGTGGTCCCAGACATATGGTACGCGTATCACGGTGGTTTACATCTCATTGATCACGCTTCTTCACAGGTCCCTACAGCAGCACTTTCCGATTCCTAATCTCTTATCGCTTGAGCAGAGTGTCCAACTTCTGGACAGCACCATGATACAGCACACGAGTTCATCAATTGTGAGCACCGCTACGAGGCGGACATGACTAGGCTTGTCGACTAGCTAGCCGGCTCAGTAGACTAACTTCTTCAATATTGGTACTCCTGTTTAGACACCAGTTCAGCAGTTGTCGATTGGGCACACCTCGTCTCGTGATGCATCAGATGCCGCACCGACGCACCAAATCCCACCCTGATTCTGATTTTCCGATGATTTTATCAGACTTTTACTTGCTTTTTCTTGTGATTTGACCATGTTCCTGATACGAATATCGTATCGGATAGGGAAGAACTTCGAGCGTTCTTCAAGCTCCAAGAAGAAGAGGTAGAGAAAGATGGAAAACTTCGAGCGTTTCCGGACTCCAAGAGAATAGAGGAGGAGATTAGATTTTGATATTTCTTTATTGCTTCAGTAATTATGAGAAATGAGTACAATATATAAGAAATGCAGCAACACTATCTGACCTAATGGGCTTAGGCCCGTACTAAACCCTAAACTAGATTAACTATAAAATATTAATAAATAATACTAACTAATAAATAATATAACTAATATCTTATCATATCATTCCCACTCCCTTAAAAACCACCTTGTCCTCAAGGTGGAGGCTCCCACTCGTGCTTTAAGACCGGAGACAGAATGCTGAACCAAAGGGGTATTCCACTCTTTGAATCTTGAACCAGCTTGGCTCTTGCAGAAAAGTAGTGGAAGAATGAGACGGGGCGCATAGCATATGTAGTTCCTATCGGTGAAACCAGGTGCTCTGTCTTGACCACATCGATAAGGTCAAACAATTTAATGGTGTCATCAAATGAAATGAAGTTGTCCACTTGCTTCTTATCTGCATTTGCCACCTTCTCGACACTTGCTAGAACATCATACCCATAATCGTCATCAAGAGCACCACCATCATCGCCAACGATGCTAGGCCCGTTATAATTGCCCTCTTTGATATGAGACCTGGCACTTGAGTCTTTGATAGGAGAACTCGTACTTGATCCTTTTGACGCATCTATGTCCTCCACAGTTAGGTCGGAGAATGCCACGAGATCTTTCTTCATGTGGACAACAGTGTCTCTCGCCTTTTCTGATGTCTTCGCCAAAGAAATATAATCCAAAGCATGTAACGGAGCAAATCGAATCTTGAACTTTTCAACAAAATCCTCCCAACCATCAATTAAGCCACCACGCATGCGCCAATTAAACCAAGACAAGGCAGAGCCTTCTAACATTGATGTCACACGGTGCAAACGATCAGCTAAAGGGATCTCATAAAACTCAAAATACTCACATAGCTTGACTAACCACTGGAAGGGTTCGGACCCGTCACATTTTGGGGGCAACCTTGGTGGAGAAAGTGGAGCGCCTGTTACTTTCCGTATAATACCCATAATGCGTGCTCTTAAAACTTGCAATTCTAAAGGAATTTGACATGGCACAATTGGAGGTCCATGAACCAAATCCTGTACCGAGCAAAAAATTTCTACGTCGAGCGTATCATTATCAATTTGACCTTTAAAATTGTGGATCGACTTGAGCTTCATAATAAGTTCATACACTTGATCAAAAATCAAACAAACTCCTTCATCATGCTCAATTTCTCCATAAAGAACCTTCTCTAACAAATCAAAAAGCATGTCCAACGCAGAATCCATTGTCAAGATAAACACCACCACACAAAAATATCACCAAAAAATACCTTAACTTTTGCTAGGGTTGGTACAGTGTTATGGTCTCTGAATCTGGTGCTGCCGAAAGAGAAAAAAAAATGCAGCCGCAAGCTTTGGCAAATTGGATAGCAAAGCTTAAGTAACAAATTAACAATTGCTCCAATAATTGGCCGCAAAAGCTTTGATACAAATTAACAATTGCTCCAATTGCTCCAATAATTTGCCGATCTGGGAAAAAAAATGAGTCGTTTTTTTTTTGTTTTTTTGTGAGTTCTCTCAATGAGAGCACCAATTGATACGAATAACGTATCGGATAGGGAAGAACTTCGAGCGTTCTTCAAGCTCCAAGAAGAAGAGGTAGAGAAAGATGGAAAACTTCGAGCGTTTCCGGACTCTAAGAGAATAGAGGAGGAGATTAGATTTTGATATTTCTTTATTGCTTCAGTAATTATGAGAAATGAGTACAATATATAAGAAATGCAGCAACACTATCTAACCTAATGGGCTTAGGCCCGTACTAAACCCTAAACTAGATTAACTATAAAATATTAATAAATAATACTAATTAATAAATAATATAACTAATATCTTATCATATCAGTTCCTTGGATGCTGGATTTTGTTTTGAACAATCATATTATGAACAACTTTGTGGAGAATAACTTGGGGAAGTTTACTGTGCGATATGTCGTTTTCCCCATAATTGTTTTCCTTGATTTATTTATGTTTCGATCTTCATTTTGTATCCTTTAGTATTAGAATAATTTAACATGTGCATTTGAGTTTTTCCGCCATAGCTCTAGTTTCTAATCATTTTAAAACCCACGAGGGCACGGTTCCGCTTAAGTGTGAGGAGGATAGAGTTATGGTTGAAATACTCTTTAGGAAGTTTAATTCATCTTTATATTTATAGAAAATTATATAAACAATCATCAGGTTTAGTTTTCTAGGAAAAATCTTTTACCTTAAAAAGAATCTGTTAAAACAAATTATCAAACTTAGATTTTTGTTCAAATTTTTGAAAATTTTTTGTATGAATTGAAGGATTTAGGTCTAAATTAGTAGATTTAATATCATGTTCTCTAATTTTTCAATAAACATTCTTTCTTCACAAAAATATTTTGTATGGTCAAATAATTTTTAGTTATTTTATTAGAAATCTTTTTAGATAATGATCCGTTATTTTTTAATATAATCACATATTGTTTCTTTAAAAGTTTTATTTCAATAAAAAAGGACACACTTTGGTGAGAGCGAATCCTCGAGTGAAAATTTTGAATAAAAAACTCTTTCATCACCTACCCTCCTAACCTTTAGACCCATTGAACCCCCCCCNCAGTGACTATTGTAGCCAATCAGCGAAGCAGAAGGTGTAGAAGGGCTTAGGTGGGGATGCAGAATAAAAATCATCAATTTTACTAACGGAGCTCCGTAGAAGGCTCACGACGTCTTATAATATTCAAAATCAATGTCACATGAACCTTGGTGAAATGAAATATCAAAAGAGCCTGTACAATAATGATGATTTGCAAATAGTAAATAAATGGCCTAGATTTACTCATTTTTTCTTCTAAAATGATTTTGCATTTGTATTTAGGCAGTGCTCCCTTCAACTTATTTTTTTTGCACATTACTAATTATAATTAAAATCAGATCAGATCTAATCAAATCAGATCCAATGTAATCAAATCCATTTATATCATATCATATCATATCATATCAGGTCCAATAAATTTAGATTTAAAAATTATTATTATTATTATTATTATTATTACTATTATTACTATTAGTATATTTACTATTACTATTACTATTATTATTTTATTATAATTATTATAACTATTATTATTATTTCTATTACTATTATTATATATATATTATTATTACTATTTCTATTATTATTATTATTTTTACTATTACTATTATTTTTATTATCGTCACCATTACTATTACTATTACTATTATAATTATTATTATTATGATTATAATTATTATAACTTTTTTTATTATAATTATTAATATTACTAGTGTTTAACCCGTGCAACGCACGGGGTCGAACGCATGTTGTTTTTAACTTTGTTAAATTTTTGATTTTTGTAAATGGTTAAAAATATAGCTAAATATAATATACTATGTTAGAAGTATAATGAATGATACGATTGTAGAATTACTACCTTTGGTGAAATCAACAATACGTGATATAGAAGAGAGATCATTGAATCTCTGTCTTTTATGCATTTGTAATTGTGCCGAAGTTGTTGCATGATTGTTCTTCGGTGTCCTTGATATACAAATTGATGATTGCACTTTGTGCGAAGCAAACACTATTTTTTAAGAATTAAAAAATAAGATGTCAATCCGCTTGGTTATATTATTTATTTCATTTATATGATTTAATATATGCCATGCATAGTCATATATTAAATTGTAAAGAAATATATAGATACCATTTGTCACACCCCCAACGGATTTATTATTGACGTTGATCTAAATTTTGACATTGATGACAATCTGTCAACCTCTGCATTAGAACCTACAAAAGTTAAAAACAGAAAAAAAAAATTTATTCACAAAATACTAAGTGATATATATGTTTAAAATCGATTTCAGATAAAAAATTATGGTAAATTAACCGTTCTGCACTCTTCTTTGTTGAAGTATATTTTTTCGTCATGTTCTTGCTTCTTTTGCCAAAATCCATTTATCTTTTCTTTGGATCTGTGTCACTATTATCCAAATTTGTACACAAATAAATTCATTTCACTATGTCAAGTATTTAATCACGACAAATCTTTATAAAAATCAGATAAAATGGTTAAGTTTAAGATAAGGCATAAAAAGAAACTACCTTTTTTAGTATTATACTTTATTAGCACATACCTATAAATTCTGATTCTCGAGAGATAGGAAACCAAATTGATGAATCTACTGCATTTGTTTGATCAGAAGAATGTTGTGCGTCAAAATCTATAATGAAAAAATAAAATATAGTATTATGAATTAACAGAGAAAAATAAAAGTATTATAGGTATTCATTTTAATATAGTAATAAAAATATATTGACCATTGTTGTTTTTACCTTCTTTGAAAATAATGGCACATGAAATAAAGGACAGATCAATGTTTCTCTGTCTCTTATGTTCTTTGTCTCTTATGGGTTTGAAGTTGCACCGACAATGCACGGTAAGAATATTACACATATAATAATAAGGAAAATATATCCTCCTAGTCCTAAAAAATCTCTCACATTCGATTTTTTTGGTCAAACAGACATTTTTATCACAAATTTTAAGAAAAATATATTTAATCATAATAAAAACTCAATATAATTGAATTAATCTTAGAATATAATTTTGATATATCAAATTTTTTATGATTTATTTATTTAGATTATATTTAATTTATGATAAAAAGAATTTTATTGTTTGACTAAAAACATCAAAATAGGAAAAGTTTTTAGAATTGAAGAGATTATAATACAGAGGGTCAAAGGTCAACATTATTGATTTCAAGATATGTAAATCTACTTTGCTCGACTATCAGGAATAATACTAATGCTTGTAATACTTTTCATCAAACAATGCTTAATACGAATAACACAGGAAAAAAATACAAAATTTGAAAATTTTTTTATACACAATATTCTAGTTCTGGACCTAATCGACTCAAAGTTACCTATCATTTAGATCTCACTTTTTCATGCTCATTTTAACACATAAAAAATCAATATGGGTATGCCTATGAATTCATAAATAATCTTATTACTCCGTAGGGAGGGAGTAAGTAGTATCCTATATGCACACACAACATATCCACGTCCAGCTTCCAAAATGCAGGAGTTAGAGCATAGAAGCTCTAAGTAAATTCTAAGTAGCGAACAATTCTGCAAGCATAAGAGAAAAACACTTGATTATAAAAATAAACACGCCCTTACAAAACTAAACACATAGTGTTTATTGTAAAATGTTAGTCATATTTTGTATTCTTTTACTTTAAAGTTGAACTAAACACAAAAATATGAATATGGATTTCTTTTAAATTCCCAGTTAATCTCTAGAATCAAAATACAACCTTAGAGTTCATTGAAATCTTCTAAATTCCAAGACTATATTTCTTCAATATCACAACTGTTGATAGTTATAATAAACACTTTACGTTTAGGCAAAAAAGGAACTCATGATGCAAAAAATGAGAATAAAATTATGAATTTAAAATACATAAGAATACAGTTATGAGTTTAAAATACACTACCAGCCGACAGTCATGCTAGCACCAGAATGCAAAGCAGAGAACACAAAGGATTCTTACATCAAATTTGATCAATTGCATTTGGGTGGTTGGGGGTAGAATTTAAATAGCATGCTATTGAAAATACTATCGGGAAACCGGAGAAGTCAAGAACTAAAGTCCAACCTCTGTTTAGTTTTGTTCCTTTTGTTTGTGTATTGCAAATTCTACACCCTTCGTATTGTCGTCTTAACCTAATTTTAAATCAGAAAGATGAGAAGTCATATCAATGTAAGTTTCCCCATACCCAAATTGGATGATATTAATGGACTCAAAATCATTTTGATTGTACGGGAGCACTTCTCAAAAGAAGCATACCTTGCCGGAAGCAATTCGCTAAAGAAGCATACCTTGCCGGAATCTATATCCATCAAAATCGTCTCGCTTTGCTTCTATAGCTCATAGAAATAGGCGTCGGCCTTATCTGAGACATAGATAGAAATAATAGAGTTGTATGGTGAGATCGTGGTGTCAAGAGATTGTGTGTATGGTGCATATGCCAATTGCCCACTAAAACTACGCTAAGTTTTCTCGCTTGAGAATTCCTATTACATTATCAGTAGATTGGATGACATCAAGCTCCAAGTATGGGTTTATAACATGTCCTTCAATTAAAATAGGATGTAAAACAGTTCAGGTCTTTCTCAAATCTTTAAAGACCCTAAACATGTAAGAAACGATAAAAACAAATGGATCAACCGTATCGATCGTCAACACAACCTACTCGGCAAGCTATTTATTAAACACATTTTTATTGGCAGAGAAAGCAATCCACTAAAAGTCCACATAGACAAAATCATATACTGGTTCTAAACCATAATTATGTTATTGTTTCAACTTGGGCCAAATAGATAACGAAAGTACCTGTACAAAATCATATACTCGCCCTAAATCGCATTTTTCTATTTCTTCAACAAAATAGAAAGTTTAAAAATTACCAGTTTTCTGAGAAGAAACATGGATGTTTCTGGACTTGCGACGTTCTTCATTTAAATCATTGCTCCATGGTATGTGTGTCGAAGGAGGATGGCCATTGATGTTCCTCCTCTATCGCCTCTGCTCGTTGTTGTGCCGTGTGCTAGGGTTTTGAATATAACTTCATAAAATTTGAAGAGTAGGTAAAAACATAGAAAATTGAAAACCTATTAAAGCTTATTCACCTGTCATTCTTTTTCGCACTTCTTCCCTTTGTCTTCTTTCTTTTTTTTGCATATTGACCAAGTATTTTCCCGATTGCCTCATCTATAGTGAGCAACAACTAATTATGAAATAACAATACAAATTTGTTACTCGTGTTATAAGATTCCCAAAGCAAGTAACACAAAATCAAGTATACACATGCAGCAAGTGGTAAGATATTACAATACGGCAGTGTCTATAGTTACTTAAACAGGCAGTAATTATGATTTTATAATCATGCACTAAGTCAGGATTGATTTTTCAATAAATAGTCTCCAAGATTATTTTGTATAAACAGGAAGCATCTATTTCTTGTATAAACATGCAGCAACTATGTTCTTATTGGCCTCTTAAGCTTGTTTTGTTTTTCTGTGTGTGTAAGTTTGTAAAAATAATATACATCTTTTAATCACTGTTTGGACATGTAGCTTGAAAGAATACATTGACATTTTAGATACAAACAGATATGAATTCAATTAACACTGTGGTTCAATTAACGTCATACATGGATTAAAAAAATCTCATTTTGTAATCTATGTCAAAATAAGCAACACATACTTCATAATCAGACTAATATGTAAAATCCTAAATAAAGTTTGAGACAATAGTGAATATAAATTGGTAATCAAGGGATCAAATTATGTACTCACTCACATGATAATCAAGTACTATTCCGACATAGGAAGAATAAATTCAAATTCAATACCCTTCTCCCTGCCCACCTCACCTCAAGTTGTAAACAATTACCACAACACCTGGAACTAAATAAATTCTAGAATTTCTCTTCACAATGTTTTACCCAAAGATTACTGTGCTCGCTTAATATGGACAAAATGAATACATTTACTATGTGTGGGAGAACTACAGAATGGAAACTACCATCAACATTAGTCTTTTGAATTTTGAAAGTCAAAACCTATCATCCATGACCCCACTAATATATCATAATGAGCTTTAGTAAAAACAAATGAACAATGAAACTATTATTTGCAAAGTGCCTCGTATATTTACTTTTTTCAGAACAACTAACTAAATTAAAACGTTGAGTACATATTAATGTGACTTTTTCATCTACAAAACATGTGAATAACTGAACATTTTATTAATTTTAAAATAATTGCTAATATGTGAAACTTTAATTTATCCCATAAGACAATTTCACTATTCTAGTACCACTTAAATGGCCTTAGTGATCAGATTAAAGGACCGTTTTAGATACATAAGGCCTATGTACCTGACTATATCAAGGCTCTAATATAAAAGGATGATGCTCTGTGTTATATATATTACGTATATATTTAGGCAGATAAATACTTACCCTTTCCTGATATAGTCAGGATCAGTGCTGTGTAATCAACATGAACTTGGGGAGGATGAAATTATGTGTGATATCCATGAAAAGGATGAGTCTTTGTAAAATAAATCTATAAGCAATATGCTCCCTTCATCCCAGTAAGTGTGAGACATTGAACAATGTAACTCATATCAAGGAAAAGTGAAATTAATTGTACTGATAATGTTAATATGTATAGTTATAAATTATTTTGAGCCACACAATTGTTGTCAAATATGGAATGAGGCAATTCAAGAAAACTAAACAAAATGAAAAAATGAAGTGAAACGTAGTGAGATGGGTATGGTATAGTTTACCAAAGCATAGAAGAAACAGAGAAACAGAGCGAAATGAAAATGTAATGCCAGTAAGGCATTTTGGAGTTTGTGGTTTGATTCTTAAAAGGAAGCATTTACGATGTAAATGAAATGAGAAAAAGGTGGAAAAAACTCTAAATGAGGCAACATGGATCACATTGATAGCCAAAAGCCACCCTAATTGGTGTGCCTTCAATTTATTTACAGTTGGAAAAATATAAACAAAACATCCTCAATACCTGTTCTGAATGAGGCTAAATAAATAACACAATCCTCTACTAAAAGTTAAAAAACAGAGTGCTGGTAAAAAAAGATACTTACATTACCTATGTTCATTACATTCTGTCTAAAATTAAATTAAGGAGTGTCTACAATCTGTATAATAAAGGAGTGTTTATAAACTACCTACATCTACAATATCATAAGATATTATAAATGGATTTTGAAATTTTTTTTTCCAGAAAAAATTCCTAAATTTTCACAATATCAAACGCGATGGGTGGCCAAAATCCAAGATTTGTAAGTAAAAAAATCAAGAAGTATTCAAATTTAGTAAAATTAAATTCGAAAATTGGAAACAAATTATACACTGGAAATTTGGAAACAACCCGAGTTGGAAATTAAATTCGAAATTTGAAAAGAAAACCTAAATTGGAAATTTGGAACCTAAATCCAAGTTTGGAAAAAAACGTAATTTGAAATTTGTAAACAAACCTCGATATCTTCTCATCGCGGTTCTCTGATGCTGATTATATGGAATCTTGCCTTCCCTGAAGAATCTGCATATATCGATTGGTGTAGATGAGAAAAATCAGGCGATTTGGGCATGGCTAAGCAAAGAACACGGAAATAAGCTGCCTTACCTCATGTGTTCCCTAATTTGCAGAATCATGAGTCAATAAACTAAGCATAGAGGAATGAACTAAAGGATAATAAGCTGCCTTACCTCATGTGTTCCCTAATTTGCAGAATCATGAGTCAATAAACTAAGCATTGATGTCATTGCTAACCTGATTTCAGCAACATAATCGAACTAAGATTCCAATCTAGCACGTTGGTGATAAAGGCATGAACTCCTCAACTTTATAAATGTAATCATCCCAATTTTTGGATCCATAACCACCTCTGAGTGTCACATAATTCAGATTATTAAAAATGCACTTATAACACTACCATTTATATGAGCTTGGAGATTTTTTAAATCCCTTTAGTTGAAAACATGTAATATCCATGCATAAGATCCAAATATTCTAGATTTCCAAAGATCAATTAACCCTAGGATTGCACGACCTTCTTAACACAATAATAAAAAAACACCCCTATTAACCCAATTAACACGGAGAGCAACTAATACCTTACATTTCCCCCATAGGAATCACCCAAACACTAACCTCTTAGTGGCACAATCAACTAATGCCAAAAAAAATCATTTAGATGAAGGAACATGTAAAATAACTGACCTTAACTCGCCGCATAACAATCGTGCAACCCCGTCCGTCATTTGCAGTTAAATAATCCAGCAACACTGTAAAAACTAAATAAAGGAAGAAGAAGAACAGTTGGTACCCATGAAAGGGGGGATGGCTAAAAGAAATAAATATGATTAATTAAGAAAAAAAAAAGATGAGGTAGAGTTTCTGTTGTAGGGAATGAGGGAAATATGTAAGCAACCTAAAACAAAAACAAAAAGAAGAATGTTACACAATCCTGATTCCAAACGGAAGTTAAGGCTAACATCATTTATCTCATCTCTTGTGCTTACACAACCTTAGCTTTGCATCGGTGGACGGTGGTGGATAAGTTTTGCAAGTTAAAGATGTTCTCAATCTTCTAGTCATCACTATTTGGTACAAAAACAAACAAAGTAGTACAATTTGATCAAAATTCTGTAGCAAAAGTTTAAGGAATATTAACAATGGAGAAAATTTAAGTAGATATTGCAGAACATGTAAAAAAATACTCCGTATCAATATTCATATTAATTACTGGGATTAATAGCTTTTTTCTTTGGTCTTTACATGGATAATTTCAATATTCAAATTAACATTTTCCAACAATAATGCTTCTTGTATCATAATATAAAATTATCATGCCCAAGATCCGAATCCATGAATGTTTGGATGGAAGAAAGATCAAAATAGTCTAAGATATCATTTAGGATGCAAAATTAAAAAGAAATTGAATTTGAATCGGTGTAAATAACCAACTTGCCTTGCAGTCACTGTCTTCATCTCTGCAAAATCTAGTCGTTGTCGCCGTGACTAAAAGAGAAGCAGAACGACGGTGTCAGAAAGCGGTGGCGTTTTATCGGCGGCGCCGGGGGAGAACCACCGCAGCCTCTCGGTCTCCAATTCTACCCCGAGTAATATGAATAATAAAAAAAATTCAATTCCCCATGCTCCGCCGCCGACTGACAGGCCGGTCCGCGTCTACGCCGACGGGATCTACGATCTTTTCCATTTCGGCCATGCCCGCTCCCTGGAGCAGGCCAAGAAATCGCAAGTCTGTTTTCCTTTCTTGAATTTATTTTTTTTTCTCTCTTAAATGATTTCATTGAATTTCTCGGAGCGACAATTGGGCGAGAAGCTAAGAAGGGACGCGTGGAGGATTACTTGTCTCAAAAATAGAATGTCGTGTTAAAATTCTAAGCTATCAACTCTCAAATATTATATTAAAGGATTAATATTATTATTACGTACTATTATTATTACTATTATTTTTGTTACAGATACTATTATTATTATTATAATTAGTATTTCTATTAATATTATTATTATTATAGTTATTATCATTACTATTATTATTACTATTTCAATTGTTATCGTTATTACTATTATTATTATCGCTATTGGTATATTTTCAATGTTTTAGTCCTAGTTTGGTCTTTCTCCCTTTTAAAAAATCAAATCAAATCACGCGAACAGAACACACCCTTAATATTCAGAAAAAAATTACAACGATTGGTGAAAATGAACTCCACCAAAGATCTGACCCGAGGGGCTGGATAGAATTATAAACCAAGAGAATCGAGATTGAGAGATTGAAAATGGAGCAGAAGTATACTAGTCATGTTTAGCTTCACTGTTACAATGGTGTTTTGCCTCTACTTATAGTGATACATTGTAGATTCTATGAGGAAAGTGCTAAACACGGTAGTTCAATCATGGTCTAGTCTTCCACCGTCATTGACACTGAGCCAAACCATCCAGCCTCGCTCGCGATTGGACGCGGTCAATCATGGAAAAAGTGGGAGATTCCTTCATTGCGTGCAATTCGACCGAGCCCAAGGCCCACGATGCATGTCCAACAAACTAGGCCTTACGGAAATGTTGGGTCTTCTAGATATTAGTCTTCCCCGTTTCTCTTGGATCACATGGATTCTGGGCCAAGCTTCAACCACGTGGACCAATGGCCCATCAACGATACTCCCAAAATGACCGGTTTTAGAATATTACTTCAGATTCTCTTTTACACACCAATAAATCAAAAAATGATCTGATTTTACATCGCTATTCCAGTATGTCTTAGTAAGCTCCAAGCTTAATCTCATAGGTATATTTTGATTGACATATATGACATTATAAATATTGAATTGTCATTACATTTGAAGTAACAAAATTAAGTTTGATGTCATTTGGAAATTTTTGAATAACTTACTAAAGGAGTACAAATGACGTCCAATTTAAGTATATTACTTTAGATGTGTTATCAGCTCTTTATTTCATATGCTATAAAAATTGGTAATTTCTTAAAGTATTAACGAGTACAAGAAAATCTGAGAGTAATGTTATATAATCAACCAAATTTGAGAGTATTAGTGTGAATTTTGTCATTTACTACTCTTGTTCTAGTGTTTTCATCAAGTTTAACAGTTTCAAGTCAAATTAGACACACTTTAGATCTCAATTACGTTAAAATTATGTAATTATAATAAAAAGATTTCATTAAATTTATCTTGTTGAGAACTTTCAAATTATTATTTCATTATAATAATACATCATACAAATTGAGAATAATTGTTGATAAGAATTCAATCTTATTGATTAAAAAATTAAACTCGATGAAAGACCGAAAGAATATTTAAATGTATTTCCTCTCTTACACATAAATCTTTATATTATGCGTTCTGAGGTTAGATCGATTTTATTTTTAATTTATTTTATTTGATTGTAGTTGGAAAATTTTAAAAATAAACATTTACATTAAGAAATTAAATAAAAAAAATTACAAAATAAGAGATGACAAGACTATATTATTTCGTAAAATGGGTAGCAAAAATTAGTAAACAAAATAAATTAAATTTAAATCTATAAATAATAATAATCCGTACCTAATACTCTCTCTGTCCACTATAGATTTTTCTAGACACTATTTACAGGGTCAAACTTTACTCACTTCATTTGCTCATTTTTACTAGTCATTTCGTAAAATATTATAGTCTTGTCATTTATAGTTTTATAAAAATTTTCATGTAGTTTATTACTATATAAATTTTATTTTAAAATTTTACTCTTAAAATCAATTAAATTAAATTAAAAATAATGTCAATCAAACCTCATAATGCGTAATGGGAAGATCTTAGGCGGACGGAGGGAGGATAAGTATCTTGGAAGATCTATACTTTTAAAATCAGATCCAAAATCTCTCTCTTACCAGCTAGTCCATTACGGCCCAGCCCATTTCGAATTGTGAGGCTACAGCCAGCAAGAGTACTTGTACTGCTAACCACTAGGGTTCCGATTGGAAGCGTGCTGCGGGAAAATGGCGTGCACCATAGATTTTAGATTCCTCGACGAAGGTTTCGGCGGTAAAACCTACAAGCGGAAGCGAGCAGAGAAAGAATCCGGCGTTCGATCGGAGGAGGAGGTGGGAGAAGATGGAAACTCCACCGCCATGGAAGTGGAAAACGCCGTCCCTCCGTCAAAAAGGCAGGCCGTCGCGTCTTCCGATGATCCGAATAAGCCTGTTTACGGAAAGCCGACGTACGACGGCGTGATAGCGGGTAGGGTTTCCGGGAGGAAGTGGAAGCAGGTACGGACGCACAGGTCTTCGGCGTTGCACGTGCGGAAGGGGATCCCGCTGGAGCAGAGGGTGAGGGAGAAGGAGATTAAGAAGGCGTACAAGGAGAGGATGAACGAGCTGAAGGAGGAGATAAGGAAGAACAAGGTGGAGAAGCGGCAGAAGAGGGAGGAGAGGGAGAAGAAGAAGAAGGAGAATATCCTCAAGTCCGGCACCAAGTTCCAGAAGATCACTAATCCCAGCACTCTTAAGAAAATTGCCAAATCTGCCAAGCACAAGAAGCTCCTCCGGGTTGTTTCTGATGATGTTGTTAATGGAAGCAAGAAGAAGAAGAAGTAACTTAGCCTGCTACCTGCAGACTGAACATCTTTTTTGCCAATACAACTCTTCTTCTATTATGTTTTCATTTGAGGTATGTATCCAAATCAATGAATGTTTGCTATCCTTATTAAATTCAATGACTTTAACCAAGTCTTGATTCGTGTTACTGCTTTTTTGTTTCAATGAAAGGATTGTTTGTTCAATGTCTTGTTTCTAATTGCTTAGCATTAGTCACTTGGCTTTTAAGCTTTTTGCTATAATCAGAATTTGGGGTCTGCATTTTCTTCTCTTATGTATTCTCTCAGTGCTGGTGCCTACTATGACTATGCTATTTGTTGTACGGCGGACTATTTTACATCATGAATCTTGATCAGTTGCATCATTTGCCCTTATAATTTGAGTATGTTCTGCCAACTGACCCATGAAGTTTTGGCCAGTTGTTGTTAGAACCTTCAATGGGATTGAGACAGTCTATGCTAACCGCCTAACCCTTACTCCTCCGGTTTTCCCGAGTTTTGGTTGGATGGTGGAGTTAATCATTAAATCTCCACCAGAATTCTCTGGGAAATGGCCGATAATAATGGAACCTCCTCAATGAGGGGATAGGTTTTTGAGATTTGGGGTTGGTCAATTTGGCCTTCTTCCTTCTGATGTACCCCTCCCGGTTCTAGGTTCTTGGAGTGGTTTGTGTCATGGTCATGACACATGGGGATTGCTACCTGAGAGCTGAGGTATTGAAAGGCAATATAATTCTATGTTGAATTTCTCCTTTGCTTTGCTCGATCATTACCATGTTTTTGCATCATATTCGGTAACATTTGTGTACTTCAAAATCATTCAAATCAAATACTTGACATATTCAATAATCAATATCAAACACCCAATTTGGGGGAACAGAGAAGAGTATCTAACTCCTTAATACATGATCATATTAGATGCATGACCTACAAGGAAATGCTACCGCATGGACACATGACTTCAGGTCTGACCGTCTGAAGCTCATTTTTGTGACATAACCGATAGGCTAAGTATTGGTTTGATGATTGATGACCACTATTTCTCTTATTACTGCATTCCGGCCAGTTTGGTAGGTTCTCATGGATAGGTGAATACTCCCCCCGTCCCCCAGTTTTTGTCCACTTTTGACTTTTGGAACTGTTCATCTAAGCACTTTGACTCATCAAATTCTCTCAATGTGTAAGCCTAAATATAGTCATGTGTGATCTTGTTTGATTTGTCTTAACATATAGATTATTAATATATAATTTTTATAATTTTTTAATATACAAATTACAAGATAAATTGGATTAAAGAAGTGCATTGGATGATGTGTAAAAATGAAAGTGGACAAATACTCAGGGACGGAGGAAGTACTTCTTTTTGAACCCCATAACTGAACAAAGTAATATGATCTCTCTGTCCGGCTTACCTTGACTGGGCACAAAGCCACAAAGTTTAATACTCTGTAAAGCAAAACTACTCTTGCTTGAGATTTATGGAGTGAAAAAGCAATAGTAAACCATGTACTTCTTTTGTTCCATTGGCTTTTCCATTTTTTCGTCCAAAAGGGTGAAGATGCGATTGTTTCTAGTCCTAGTCGTGGAGATATTTGAGTGATTGTCTTCTGAATGATTTGTTTTTATGCGTTTTAGAAGATGTTAGAACATGGTTGCTCATAATATTGCTAATTTACATCCTTATGATATAGAGAGTGAAGTTTGGTTTGAGGATGGGCGTAGGAGCTTGATTATGGTCATTGAGGACGATCTTTGTAGTTTTTTCAAACGTATTGAATGAATGTTTGAGTTTGTTTGTCGATAAAAAACGTGTAAAGTGTGTGAAATACATGGTTAAGTAGATACTAGATCAAAACATTGAGTTTATAAGTAATTGTCAAATTGCTTAAGTTGACTTTATTGTGCTTTTGGCTTAATGGTATAAATATGAATTATCACCTGTGTAAAAGTTACAGAGTAATGTATTTGCCCGTGATCAAAATCTGTTAGAGTTATGAGTTATCCCACATGTCAACTTGCAGAGAAAATAAATTGGTATATAAGCTCTTGAGTTGAATTAAATAATTAATTGAATTTAATTTTTTAATGTGGTTCAGCCCAAGTGTCTTATGACTCAGTCCATAGTGATCTCTACCCATCCTAAATTCTATCATGGTATTGGAGATTGATTCCAAAAGAATTCTACAGTTGATTGGCCAATTGACACTTGGCCATCCGCCGCTGCTGTTTTAGCCCACCACATTTGTTAAGATGTCTGTGTAGAAGTTCATTTTTAGCGGCTCATTTGTCGTTAGCCCAGTTGTCCGTATGTAAAACGTCGCCCATATAACTCGATTACTCGTCTGGAAGTCTAAACCCAGCGATTCATGGTTTTTTAGGTGTTGACACTTTTGATCCTTTCATTTCTTGAGGAGGGGGAGTCCATTTGGAAGTAGTCAACCAGTTAAATTTAAAATTTCCCAGTTGTCCACTTGAGGGAAAATGTTAAAGAGTTATCCACATCAGAACTTATAGAGAACATATATCAGTATACAAGCTCTGGGTTGTTGTTGTGTTGTTGTTTAAGCTCTTGAGTTGAACTAAGTAATTGATTAGATTTAATGTTTTAATGTGGTTCAAGCCAAGTGTCTTATGACCTAGTCTAGTAATTCCTACCATATCCTAAATTCAAAATTCATATTTGGAAGAAACACGTCCTCTTAAAAATAAAAGGATTTAAGAGTTACTCCCTCCCTCTGAAAAAATTTCTTCTAATTTGACTTTTTTGGTCAAAGTTTGTAAACTTTGACTCGAACGTGGAAAAAATATATTGTATTTTGATACGGAGTATAAATATCAATGTATTTCTATTTAAACACATTTTTCAAATATCAAACATTTATAAAAAAATATCTTTGTATAAATTTAGATTTTAATGGTCAAACTGCAATATTATAAATTGTGAAAAATTAAATGAGAAAATATTTCGAGGACCGATGGAGTATTTAGAGTAATTTTGTGTCTATATCCGTCAACTACACATTTAATCACTATGGTCGACATTTAAGGCATGAATAAAGAGGCACTTGAGCTCGAAGACTATGACTGCCTATGAATATGTAATTATGTATGCCTGGGGACCCATATTTATAATTACACTTTTGCTCAATATACACATCAAAAGCTCGTTAGTTTCTTGTGGACTTGCCCGTCAAGAAATTATAATTGTTAATAATTAACTTTTACACCATTGATTTCCTCGAATCTCAAAACGACATCTCTGCCTCGAGCGTGTTACCCTTGCTTGCTGGCCTTTCCACCAACCTATCATTATCTCCTTGGAAGAGTGTGGGCAGCGAACCACCATCCTGATCCCATCATTGCTTTTCCTCGGAAATAGGCACTTAATTAATCCCCCACAATCGCCTATACTAGCAACCTCACATCATCTTCTTTATTTTTCACCCCTTGATTCCTCAAGATTTCTTCGCAACTTCTTCTTCATTGTCATTCAAGATTTAGAGTTTATCAGCTCATTGTTCTCGACCTCTCAATTCCTAAATCTTCTGGCCTTTTTCTAAACTCTGCGAAGATGGTGAAAGTGAACATGGAACAATGGGAGCCGAAACTTTCTTCCACCGCAGATGGTGATTTGGATGAAATGCAATTTTCTTGGGCTCTTCCTACAGAGTGGAGCCCCTAGTGGGTACGAACATTCTGAAAAACTGCACCCAAGATCGAGCAGTCCTCTTGCACTATGAGTCCAGTCAAGACTGGCTGTCGGTTGCCCTTCCATTCTTTGCTGATAGATATCTATAACCATTATCTGATCCCCCGGTTCAACTGCAGCGATGCCCATTAGACTCTCTCTGCCTTCATCCTCTGATGTGTGGAACATGAAGTCGCTCCATCTTACGAGAACTTCCACCACCTCTTGTGCTTGAGCGAGGTTCCCTATGTGGGTATCTACCCTGACACTATATTTCTCATTACCTTTTCAACAAGTTTAATGAATGGGACAAGAAGAAATTTTGTAATGTGTTCCCAAAAGGGACCCACTTGGGCCTCCACAATGCTTTCAATATGATGGGATATTGACCCCGCCGACAATGCCCTCTTTTAGATGCTCATGAGGAACTCAACCTGCCTTCCTTTGATCCTCAACCAGATGTGACTCTGGTCTAATTTGAGCATTTGGGATAGAGGTGAGCAAGTACTAAATTGATGCCAAAAAATTCCCGATAAAAATAGAGAAAACTGAATCGAAAGACACTAAATCAAAAAAATGCCGTTAAAATATCAAACAGATGCAAACCAAATCTTTAATTTGATATTTTGGAACGATACGAAGTAACTTCTCATATCAAAAATCCTGAGCCGAATATGTATACTACTCCGTAATATATTATAAGAGGCCGGTTCCAGAGCCACTGGAATCCAGTGGCTACGGAAGCCACTGCCCCCCTATGGAGCTTCGTTCATGAAATTGATTATTCCTACCCCCTACCCCCCCGCCAAGTCTCGACCCAAACTACTCCTCCCACCTACGTCAATTGCACCTCGCAAGTATAATTGACTTTAAAGTCAAAATTTTTGACTTTATACTTACGAGGTGCAATTGACGTAGGTGGGAGGAGTAGTTTGGGTCGAGCCTTGGCGGGGGGTTTACCGGGGTGTTAGGGGGATAGGAATCATCAATTTCATGAACGGAGCTCCGTAGGGGGCAGTGGCTTCCATAGCCACTGGATTCCAGTGGCTCTGGAACCGGCCTCATATTATAAATATAGTAATCTTTTTATTATATGCACTATTATACATTGTACTTTTTTTAGTTTTAATTCCCAGTAGATAAATTTAAAAATATTAGCACACATTTAAAATATCATTTTTTATTATTCGTTCACTTTAGTTTGTGAAATACAAATTAAGTTTCATAATTATATTTGCATTTAATTTTTCATTTTTATTTTTTATTTTTCTTTATTTAAAAATATATTTTTGAATTTTTAAAATTAAATTTTTTGTGACATTTTAAATATTAAATTAGGTGTATATCTATTTCTCCTCATTTGTACCAATATCGTTACTGGATCATTTCGAAGTTCGAACCATACTAAAACTAACTTTTGAGATCAGAATGGGTGCGAGACAAAATTCAATACTAAACCGAAATTTTTAATACGGAACTAAATTTTGTACCATGAATCCATGATCACTCAAGACTCAAGAGATGAATGACCCGGCAGGGCATTCGTGGGTTGGCCGGGTCAAAATCAGGTATGTGAAGATCAGTTTCCTTCACCGACAATTCTCAAGCCGGAGTACCAATGATGAGTCCCGTCGCCGTTCCTTGATTCACACTCTTCAGCTGCAACTGCATAAACGCACTATAGAGAGTGTTAATCGTATGGAAGAAATCAAAGCTCACACACACAAATTCTCCATGCGCATTTGATTCCCGTCATCGGCAGAATGGACAGAGCGACCTCCTCCGACAACGAAGATGATCGGCAGAACCTAATCGGAGACGAAGAACGGCGCAGCGGCGCGAAATCGCCTTCCCCGTCCACCTTCCAGATCGACGGCATAAACAACCGGTTCGTCGACTCCGCGCGGTTGGGCTTCGGCTGCCGGAAGAGGTACTTATTAGCGGTCATTCTCCCGGTTTTCGTTTTCATCGTCTTTATCACCACAGACATCAAAAGCGTCTTTCGAACTGGAGTCTCTAATATTGGCTTCGACTCTTCTTCGGTTAGTCGCATGCGCGAGTCCGAGTTGCGTGCGCTGTATATGCTCAGACAACAGCAGTTAGGGCTTTTCAAGCTGTGGAACCATACGTTTGGGAATCTAACTAGATCCGCTGCTGTTGTTAGTAAGGGGAATTCGAGTTCGAATCCTGCTGGAAATGATAGGAGTCAATTGGCTTTATTTTTAGATGATCTGAGAGCAGATTTGCTAAGTCAGATCTCATTGAATAAGCAAACTCAACAAGTTCTTCTGTCATCACATCAATTAGGGAATTCATTGGATCTGTCATCGGATAATTTCACTGACCCAAGCATTGACGGATTAGGTAGGTGTGGGAAGGTTGATCACGGATGGTCTGAGAGGAAAACTATTGAGTGGAAGCCGGAATCAAATAAGTATTTGTTTGCCATTTGTGTCTCCGGACAAATGTCGAATCATTTGATTTGTTTGGAGAAGCACATGTTTTTTGCAGCTGTACTTAATCGTGTTTTGGTTATTCCAAGCTCGAAAGTCGATTATGAGTTTCAGAGGGTGTTGGATATTGAGCACATCAACAAGTGTGTTGGGAGAAAAGTAGTCCTGGCTTATGAGGAGTTTGCAGAAAGTCAGAAGAACCATGTGCATATAGATAGGTTCATTTGTTACTTTTCCCAGCCACAACCCTGTTTCGTGGATGATGAACGGATTAAAAAGTTGAAATCTTCGGGAGTTTCTATGAATAAGCTGGAGACTGCTTGGGATGAGGATGTTAAGAAGCCAAAACAAAGGACCATCCATGATATAATCTCCAAGTTCTCTTCAGACGATGCTGTTATTGCTATAGGCGATGTGTTCTTTGCGGATGTTGAGAGAGACTGGGTGATGCAGCCAGGTGGTCCCATTGCCCACGAGTGTAAAACTCTAATTGAGCCCAGCCGTCTTATTGTGCTCACTGCCCAGAGATTTGTTCAGACATTTCTGGGAGACAACTTCATAGCTCTTCATTTCCGTAGACATGGTTTCCTAAAATTTTGGTATGTTCTTCTCCCTTTGTTGGAAACCATTTCTTTTAAGAAACTCTCTTTTAATCTTCCTGAAGGAATGTCTTTAACTTTTGTATAAACTATTACTTTAAAAGGCAAGAAAGAAATCATAGAAAAGGTGTTTAGTTTTATTTAAGAAATCTGGAAATTAGAGAATGAGAGCACTTTTCGCAGGAGTGAATTGCGTCGAAATTTGCGGAACATGCTGAAATTACTGAAGTTGTTGCTGATATAATGGAAGTTGTGGGAGTATTACTGAAGTTGCTGATATGATGAAAGTTGTGGGAATTGCTGAACCATGAAAAAACATTCAAAAATTAATTTATTGATTAAATAAAGAAAAAGAATGAATAAAGGCCAAAATGATCACCTTTAGCAATTTCAAAATTTTCAAAAAACGTACTACGTCCAACCATATTATTTTCCATTAGCAATCAATTCAGAGCGTTTAGTCAAATAATTTTCCTTTTAGTAAAAAGAAATTTTCATGAGCTGATGAGCCAAGAAAAAAGGACTACCATGCGGCCACTTAGTAAATTAATACTCCGTAGCAAATACTATGCTGGACAGTATACTTTGCTGAACCTACCATGCTTGACATTTTATTATGCATCATATTGCCTCCAAAATCCAAATACACCTAATCCTGTGGATGGCAGCTAGAGCTTCATATGATTTGATAAATATTCATTTTTTTTTTGCTAATAACACTTGCCAAATCATCAGCAATGCCAAGAAACCAAGTTGCTTCTACCCTGTTCCTCAAGCTGCAGAGTGTATCAATCGTGTGGTTGAGAGGGCCAATTCTCCAGTAATATATCTATCTACAGATGCTGCTGAAAGTGAAACTGGTTTGCTTCAATCTCTTGTCATCCTCAATGGGAAGACTGTACCTCTTGTTACAAGACCTGCTCGTAATTCAGCGGAAAAATGGGATGCTTTATTATATAGGCATAGCCTTGAGGGAGACACTCAGGTAAGCTTACAACCTACCTGTGCAATGCTTTTGATATCAATGTGTCAAGGACTTATGTGGCTGGTTCTGCCGAAGTTGCTGAAATTGTGGCTAAATTGGCAGAATCTGCTCTAAAAGCTAATTGAAATATATGATCAAATAGTTTAGAGAAATGTATTCTTTTCAAAGGTAGAAGCATAAATTTCATACATTTCAGCCAGAAAGTTAACTCTTACCTTACTTTTATTATAGCCTGATTTAGATAGTAGCGTTAAATAAGTTAGTTGCTGGTGAATAAAGTGGATAATTAGTAAAACTCTTGAGGAGAGTAGGACACAGTTAGATTTGCGATCCAAGGCCAAGATTCATTTCTTTGTTAGAATTTCTTTTTTTGTGTGTCGCAAAATAAAGTTTACATATCTTTCATTTCCTAATCAAGAAACATAATATGGCTACAAATATTTCTCTTTTTTGTAAACAAATTTCAATGATCCATTTTTCTTAAACTATGTAAAGTCAAACTGTGAAATTCTTTGTGGGACGGATGAAGTAGATAGTTTAAACCATGGCAATTCTGCTGAAATTTAGGGCAGAAAAGACAAGTATGTCTGGTGGAGAGAGAAGACAGCGGGGTCTGTTTAGGTGTATGATTAAATATGATGTTTCTAAACCTTCTCTCTTTTTCCACAAAACACTGTTCTTGCTTTGACTTAACAATTAACATTACCTGTTCCCTACTGTTCTTACCCTTAAAGCACACTTATTTTGGCATTGAAGGTGGAAGCAATGCTAGACAAGACAATATGTGCTTTGTCTGCTGTGTTCATCGGATCTCCGGGGTCCACCTTCACCGAGGACATTCTAAGACTCCGGAAAGGCTGGGGTTCGGCATCTCTGTGCGACGAGTATCTTTGTCAAGGCGAACTCCCAAACTTCATTGCAGACGACGAGTGAGTTGCCCCCGCACTTGCAAACACTTTTGGGACTCAACAACTGGGGTACGTATCGCCGTTGGGAATTTGGCTGGATTTGGGAAACATAGACAGAGTTTTGTGCTGCATTTTGATGATTAGCATTACCAGAAGGTAGAGATAAAGCAGTCTTAGCCATTCACCCATTCTTTGGCTTTATGTTTTTGGGATCTTAGCGTAGCAATTTTTCCCGTTTTGATAGCCCATGTCACTTATAACTTATTTGTTATTATTATTTTCCCAATGTATTTAACACTTTGATGAGCAATATGTATATTTATACATAATGAGTATTAAGGGGTATAAGAATAAAAATTTGACCAAGAAAATGCAAATAAAAAAACAATAGGTTGGATATATGATCTCTCATAGATTGTTCTCTTCAACTTATTCTTGTTATATGTTACTTAGAGGGTGTTTGGAGTGATTAATTTGTGAGTAAAGTGATCTTCACAAAAGCTGAAAGCAAGTAGCATATATCTATTTCCCCGAAATGGTGTTCTATGAATAAAATGATACTAAAGAAGAGTAGAAGTTGGTATGTCAAACAGAATAAAATGATTATCACTTAAAGCAGAACTTAAATTCTGAAAAGCACCGCAGTGCCAAAGACTCTTTTATTCTTATTGGAATTAGATCAGATTAGAAACAACTTTAAATATAACAATAATTAGATCATATCAGACTTTAATAAAATCAGATTAGATCTAATTGAAAGAGAACAAGCTCTAATCAGATCAAATTAGATTAGAAATATTTGCAATTACAATTATGATACGGGCTAAATAGCAATCCCACACCGATCAAATGGGGGATTGGTGTGGGATTTTATATAACCAAGAATTCTCTCACTTTAATAGCTAACTTTTAGGGTGCAACTCTCCCTCTTGTCGTATCAAATCGAATCAGATTAGAACCAATTACTAGTAAATAAGTTGAAGAGAACCAACCCTCAGTCACTTGAACTAAGCAAAACTGAAATTGTCGCGTGATTCTTGAGAAAATTTTCGAAATCTCCATTACCGAGAGTTTTCAAAAGCGGCAATTTTAAACGTAAATTGAAGCAAATTGTGATGGAATTAATTTTATTGTACGTAGTGTTACAGTGCAAACACTCAAGTCATTCGTGTTTGCAAACCACAAAAGCCCAAAACTGGAAAAATAATGGTAAATACCATAGATCCATGGACTTGTAAGAAGATGATGGTTTTCAAGACATTGTTTTTCTTGGTCTTGATTGTTCCAAGATGATTTGACACGGAGATGAAGAAAAATTAAAAAGTAAAAAGACTATTTTTCATGTGCTACCCTTAATGTAATTGAATAAAGTGAATAGTTTTGATAAAAAGTGAGGATATAATGACACGTTCATTCAAAGTTTTTTGCCTAAATAAGAAACAGACAAGAAATTTTTGAACGGTCCAAAAAGGACAGTGAGAAAAATTAATGGACGGGGGGAGTATTTTATACGGAGTATTTTTATTTTCATATTTCATTTGTCCATAGATTTTAGTTTGGAGTCATTTGGAACTGGCAATGATATGAACATTCTCTTACTTGAAAAAGCACCACTTAAAGATAAAGAACCCACCTCCCTCCCTCCCTACCTAAAAAAAGAGCATTTAAATAAGAGGATTAAAAGGCATATGTAGTCTAAAGAAAGACAAAAGATAAACACAGTTAGAGTGCAAATCCTCTTGACAATATTCTCATACAAAAATAAGAATCTGGGAGTCGATGGATGGAGCGTGCTATTAACAAGATTATAGAGCGACGAGCTGCTTCTATGATACAATGCCACCAGGAGAGATGAACAAATTGGTGGTGGTGGTGGTGGGTGGGGTGGGGGGGCAAACCTTTGAGATTTGGAGGGGTCATTAAGAAGGAATACTTACTACTGGGGAGCTAAGGCTCAAACTCCTGGGAGTCAGCACTGCCAGACCTTGGTGTCCTAGAATCAGAGCTGCCAGACCTCGGTGTCCTAGAATCAGCAGTGCCGAATGTCCTCCTGCTCATGTTGGCCCGTTCCACAAGCCGCACCAAAGCCGCAACAACTTCTGACATAGGTGGTCGGAACTCAGGCTCCGGCTATCACATGTTTTTTGCAAGCACCCATTAAGACATGGAAGATGGATGTATGGAAATTGGAAAGTAAAATAGTCATTTCATGCAAGTAGCACATGTGTTTTGGATTCACTCATTCCCCTGCTGGCTTGCATTGAATAACACCAACAAACCCAGTTTAATCCCAACTCCGTTGGGGTTTGGGGGAAAAGACGTGTGCAGCCTTAACACTATGTTTGGTTCAAGGAATTTGTGAGGGAAAAGAAAAGAAAATGAGATTTAAAAAAATTCTTGTTTGGTTGGAGAGGAAAAGAAAAGAAAAATGGAACGAAAAGAAAATGAGAAGACAAAATAAGCTAAAAGGAGGAAAAACAAAATTCCTCCATTTGGGTGAAGAAAATGAGAGACACTGTAATTGGCGGGAAGCCTTTGAGGCACTGGGGTAATGTTGTCCCTTGAACCAAATATAGTGTAACACTGAAAAAACAGAATGGATGTTTCTGTTACACTTGTTACATTGCAGCATTTAGTGACCAAAACTTCATAAAAGTAAGAAACAAATGTGTCATTTTGATACAACAAATCCAGTAAAATCTCACAAATAGGGTAGGGTCTAGGAGAATATGTGTAAGTAGACCTTAGCCCTACTCAGAAGTAGTAAATATAATAGGTCATTTTATATATTGTAAAAAAAATCTCTTTTAGATCCATCGGCAATGGACGCATTGATTGCTCTTTTAGCTAAAACATTGTTTGTGTTTAATATGTTGTTCTAAAAACTGAACGATTACGCCCACGCTGAACAGAACCTAAATTTGATAAGTTTTTTACCCAGGAATTATTACCTGGACACAAAGGGCAATGACATCAGCGAAGCGGGATAGAGATTTAACAGGATAAAGCCCTTTGAGCGCTGGATCAACCATCTTAGACAATGCATCAATGTCGTGAAGCTGAGGAGTAGCCCATCGAACTAATGACTGCTCGGATCTTGGCCTTGAACTACATAGTGAAGGAAGAGATAAAATACCATAGCACTAAAAGAAAACCCTAAACAGGCAGATGATTTCCTAAACACAGTTCTCTCATAAGGGACAAATTACTGGTTGTTGAATAAGTACCTGTCAAATGGTGTTCTTCCAGTAAGAAGTTCCAACATGGCAACCCCAAAACTGTACACATCACTCTTTATTGTATACTGGCCTGACATGTCTACTTCAGGCGCACCATATCCAGACCCCAAATTATGGTTAAGAGCCTGCAAGAACTCGAGAGCAGAAAAATTGTGTTAGGAACATTTCCATTATGTGAAGACAAGGAGAATAAACCACTTTATGCTTGCAAATAATAAAGGCATAAGGCATACGAAGGAAATTTGTGCTAGGAACATTTTCAATGGCAACCAAACACATTGGCGGGTAAGAATTTATCTAATGCCAAGGGAATAAAAACGTTACCTGGTCTTCATCCCGGATAAGGCTTGCTAAACCAGAATCTGATAGGTGAGGATTGAATTCTGAATCAAGTAAAATGTTTGCAGATTTGAAATTTTTATGTACCACTGATGGAGAGCAAACTTCATGTAGGTACCTGCAAAGGATGGTCAATTAGCTTGAATGTAAATTCTACATTCTTTCTCAAGCATACCACCATGTGTGGACGGGTAAATAAAATTGAGTAGCTCATATATATATATATCAATGATTCACTGCAGCCCCGACATATAAGATGAAATTAAGTGATAAATATTACCCGGCCAACTAGTAAACTCTGTTAAAAAATCTTGCAGAAATTGGGAGAAGTCATCGATATATTGACAACTAAACTTACTCAAGTGCACGTGCTGCCCCCAAAGCAATCTTGACTCTGATGTTCCAAGCTAGTGTCTGGCTGTACTCATCAGAGAGATGCAAAAAATCATATAAAGAACCATTTTGGTAGAATTCATACACCAGTAGGTACTGTTTATGCTCCGAACAATATCCAACCAACTCAGTGACATTTGTATGATGCAGCCGGGATATCTCAGAAATTAAATCCAGAAAATCTTCAGGGTTCCCAATAGCAGAGAAATTAATTTTCTTTACAGCAAGAACCTAACACAATGCAAGGTATTCACATTAATGAAATGGTAGAAAGTAGAAACATCACTTGTTGAATGCTTTAATGACGGATTAATACTTCCCCAAGGTTTGGTCAAATCACCAAATGATCCCCGAGATTTCTAAATATCACAAATAAGTCCCTTAAATAGTTAACTTATAGATAAACTTTCCCTTTAACTCTTCAAGATAATATAATATAGTGATATTAGCAACAAGAATGGTGTGTTTTAGGACTAAATTTGGTGTTTTTAAGTGCAATTTATCTGCTAAAATATTTCAAGCTTGCTGTATTTAAAAAAATCAGGAATGACATTGAGGGTAATTTAGTCCAAAATTTTCAACTCCAGAGATTGCGGAAAATCAACTCAGAAGGCTCATTTGTAATTTTCAAAAACTGTGAAGGTCATTTCACAATTTGACAAAACCAAGACGTAGGCACTAGGCAGATGTAATTGAGTATTTCTTGAAAGTAAACATCCAAGGACTTAATTAAGAAAAAGAAATTATTGCCCGCACGGGTAGATTAGAGGTTCCCAAGGAGTGTTACGTCCGAGATCTCAAGATTGACTCCCGGCAATGGAAGTGTCAGAGTTTTATCCAATGTGATACGGAGTAGCCCTTTGTGTGCACCGGGCACAGGACAATCTCTCAAAGGATCACACTAAGATTATAATATGATATACCCCCTCACTACTCTGTCGGGCTGGGTGTCGACACCCGGGGTGGGCATTCCAGCTTTTCTTAAGAAAAAGAAATTATTGAAAAAAGGTTGTACCTTTCCATTTTCAAATTGAGCTCGGTAAACACTTCCAATTGATCCCTCACCAAGAAGATTTTCATCATTGAAGCTATCTGTCGCAGTTTGTAGTTCTGCAACGGTGTATTGGACAGCATTTATTTGAGACGTATCAATTTTCTTGGGAGTAATAACAATTGGTTTTGCTGATATATCATCTTCATCAAATGATTTAGCGCGATCAACTGGAGGTGGTCTTAGTGTTATAACTTCAATCGGTCTCTCAAAGGTTTTCACTCCCGCCGTGGAGTCAGCTTGAATGAATTTCCTTTCTGCATGAAAATTCACAGAAAATCAAGCATCGAATGCAGCAACTTCTCTCCAATTCTTACATATTCAGGTATTTTTAATAGGGCTAAATGTACTTTTTCCCTTCAACTATGCTCCC